CTTTCTTAATTGAAGACAGTATTTTATTATTCTGGGTTATTCATCTTGTCTGGTTTCTGTCTCATTAATATCCACCTTACATCTCCTTTTGTTCAAACTAAACTGACCAATATAAACAAAAGAAGTTCTATCATAAATGCTATTGAACAGATAAAATTACGTCTACTGAAATAAGCTCAAACTCCCATCAAACATGCAAAACTAAATCTGACTGTTTTTTAAAATGCATATATTGGTGGAAGACATTTTGGGGTTAAAACATATAACATTAAAAAAATCAAAACAACACTAGATGCAACCACAGCGCTAATCTTTATTGCTTTGTAAACAAAATTTGAGACCAAATTCAATATGAACGGTAACAATAACAGTCAAAAACAATAACATAATTATAATCTGAAGTACATACTGTGAAGACATTTATTTTCATGAGCATCAATTTTCATGGTTTGGAGAAAAATTGAATCTTTTTGGATTACTCGATTTCAGTGTTTTGATAGATTACGCATAAAAGTCTATAGGAAATTTACATATATGTTGATAAACCCCAATTCACAGTTTACCTGTACACATCAAACCAAATGAAAATCAGTGTCCCACTAATAATGAATCCACAGTATGAAGTACATGTACATGTATACAGTATAAGTGTTTATGTTCTACCAGACTTCTTTTCCAGGGTTAATTTTCATGAGTATCTTGGAAATGTGACAACTAAACATGTGTTATCTTTCTAACTACATACATTGTAAATATCTAAAGGATCACTAAAATTTAAAGTGATTGAATAAAAATTAACAGAATTTTTACTCATAAATAACACATTTTGGAACAAATACACTTATAATATTGTGTTGTGTACAAATCTGTAGTAAGTACAATGCTTTGTGAAATCATTTTGTTAAACTGAATGGAATTAATTCATGCATGGCTATCTTCATAACTTTTAAAACGACAATCAATTTATTAGTATAAACTGTAAATTTTGTTTATTCAAGGTATAAACATTAATATATTTCACATTTTTGTTAACATTTAGTTTTTTTCATACTGTATACATTACTCAAAAATATCTATTGGTTGATGCTTAACTTATAATAAATACACAAACTCTACAATATCAGACAGGAAACCCGCTATGTACTTTCAAAAAAAGGATTCAGCATTAAATCATACGGAAACACAACTTACCAAAAACTTTGAAAAGAAAAAGAATGGAAATCAAATATGCATGTATAACAACAAATCTCAAATATAAAAAAGAAGATGTGGTATGATTGCCAATGAGACAACTCTCAACAAGAGACAAAATGACACAGAAATTAACAACTATAGGTCAAAACACACTTAACAAAACCTAACCAAAAGAACAGCATTTTCATTCCTGTTCTTCATTAGCAATTTTACTATTTGATTAAAAAAAGTAGCAGGATGATCAAGTATGAAAAAATAGTAGGTTGTACTGATATTTAATTCTTATATATTTAGAAAAAAGTAATTTCTAGAAGTGATATATATGTAAGGTGTTACACAAGATAATGGTCATTTACATTGGGTAGAGTAAGCTAACTTATTTTCACTGATACTCATTTACGTGTTTAGCCCTTTCTAGCATTTTTCAGTACTTTCTAACTTTATTTGTGTTTTCTTATGAGATAAGATTCAAGGTTGACAAATTCAGGCTGACTTAAATTCATGGTATGCATCTACTTTCATATAAGTCACGAAAACAAGTCGTTGCAAAAAGTAGTTCGTTTACAGTAATAAATTCAAATGCATCTCATCTTACTGTAATAACAAACTCAAATAAAGATGTTAGTATCTGTTATGTATGATGATTATTTATCGAATTTTGGAACTTTCAATAGTATATTTAAGTGCAGTGTATTTTTAAAGGCCCTTTAAAATGTTTCCAATCTTGTGTTTTAAAATGTTCCTGACAGTACTGATTTCTACTCCTACAACAAAGTCTGTCTTAAAATAGTTCACTTAACAGCAATAATTGCAGTAAACATCTTATTTAAACTTTGTTGGATAGTTGTCATCTCCTTATGTTATATTGAATATCTGATCTTCCGCATTTAAGTACAAAACATGTTCCTTCATAATTATTTTTTTAACACAAGTGCTAAACATGTTGTCAAAGACTTTAAGTAATGAATAATTTTCATTGTTATTTCTATTGGATAAACCATTTATAAAGAGTTTACTATTTTTAGTATGCATATCCGATAAAAAAAATCTTTGTGACTTTGTGAAACAAGAGGCTCTCAAGAGCCTGATCGCTAACCTGTATTTCAGAGGAGAAGATTTTTAAATGTTAGCAAACTTGATGAACAAATTGTGTAAAATTGTCTTTAAAGGGTAATAACTCCTTAAGGGGTCAATTAACAATTTTGGTCATATTAACTTTTTTGTAGATCTTACTTTGCTGAACATTATTGCTGCTTACAGTTTATATATATCTATAATAATATTCAAAATAATAACAAAAAACTGCAAAATTTTGTTAAAACTACCAATTCGGTGGCAGCAACCCAACAATGGGTTGTTCAATTCGTCTGAAAATTTCAGGGCCAATAGATCTTGACCAATTAAACAATTTTACCCCTGTCACATTTGCTCTAAAAGATTTAGTTTTTGAGATATAAGCCAAAAACTGCATTTGACCCTTATGTTCTATTTTTAGCCATGGGGGCCATGTTTGTCGATGGATACAAACTTAGGATACAATTTATAAACAAGATACCCTAAGGAACATTTGGTTAAAGTTTGAAGGTAATTGGCCCAGAAGTTTCAGAGGAGAAGATTTTTAAATGTTAGCAAACTTGATGAACAAATTGTGTAAAATTGTCTTTAAAGGGCAATAACTCCTTAAGGGGTCAATTGACAATTATGGTCATATTAACTTTTTTGTAGATCTTACTTTGCTGAACATTATTGCTGCTTACAGTTTATATATATCTATAATAATATTCAAAATAATAACAAAAAACTGCAAAATTTTGTTAAAACTACCAATTCGGTGGCAGCAACCCAACAATGGGTTGTTCAATTCGTCTGAAAATTTCAGGGCCAATAGATCTTGACCAATTAAACAATTTTACCCCTGTCACATTTGCTCTAAAAGATTTAGTTTTTGAGATATAAGCCAAAAACTGCATTTGACCCTTATGTTCTATTTTTAGCCATGGGGGCCATGTTTGTCGATGGATACAAACTTAGGATACAATTTATAAACAAGATACCCTAAGGAACATTTGGTTAAAGTTTGAAGGTAATTGGCCCAGAAGTTTCAGAGGAGAAGATTTTTAAATGTTAGCAAACTTGATGAACAAATTGTGTAAAATTGTCTTTAAAGGGCAATAACTCCTTAAGGAGTCAATTGACAATTATGGTCATATTAACTTTTTTGTAGATCTTACTTTGCTGAACATTATTGCTGCTCACAGTTTATATATATCTATAATAATATTCAAAATAATAACAAAAAACTGCAAAATTTTGTTAAAACTACCAATTCGGTGGCAGCAACCCAACAATGGGTTGTTCGATTCGTCTGAAAATTTCAGAGCTGATAGATCTTGACCAATTGAACTATTTTACCCCCGTGTCAGATTTGCTCTAAAAGCTTTAGTTTTTGAGATATAAGCCAAAAACTGCATTTGACCCCTATGTTCTATTTTTAGCCATGGCGGCCATGTTTGTTGATGGATCAAAACTTCGGATAAAATTTATAAACTAGATACCCTAAGGAACATTTAGTTTAAGTTTGAAGGTATTTGGCCCAGTAGTTTCAGAGGAGAAGATTTTTGAAATAGTTTACGACGACAGACCACAACGAGGACGGACGCCAAGTGATGGCATAAGCTCACATGTGGCCCTTTTGGCCCCGGTGAACTAAAAACTGGTAACTCTGGTTTATCATTAATTTTGTGACAGAAATAAACATATTAATATGTACAATGAAAAATGAAAAAAAAAAAAATTCATTTAAAATTTTCAATGGGTACTGTGTGTCTATTTTTATAGTAAGAATTATTGGACATCCGTCTATCTGGCAGTTTTCTATGTTAATAAACATTTAATAAAAAGATGAAATGATAGTTGAATTCCAAAGGACTGCTTTCAGAGGAAGTTTTCATAAATAACTTGAGATAAACAAATTTACTATGAAAGGAGCATAAGGCTTGTAGTTTCCATTCTAGCATCTTTTAAAATCTTTACATTTTGTAAGAAAAGGATTATTTTGACAAAATACAGAATAAAACGAGGAGGAATTAGAGATAGAACAAGCAACAAAAAATCTGTATATTGATACATTTTTATAAAAACATAAAATATGAATAAAATGTAAATATTACATCAATATTCATGATTTCAAGACAATCCCAAATAAATCTATTTTTCAAGCACTATCAGGCATGTTCCATACAAATATAATTTCACAATTATTTAAAAAAAAGTGACAATTATTCCACATGCTTTTCTTTATTAAATACGAAGAATAATATCCTTGTTTTTTTTTAATAGAGAAAACATATAAATATAATCTATTTTCACATATTCTCCATATCACGCTACTGGAGTGATATGGGATTTTCCCAGTCGAGTAAAAAGACAATGAATGACATCATCAGCCTATGCAATTGTTGTTTCCTAGGAAAATGAAGATAAACAGAGTATCAATGGTCTTTCAAACTTGAGGATGTCAAAGATGAAAAGCCTCGAAAACATTTTTCTTGAAGTTTTGTCCCCGTAGGATATTTACAATGAAAGTTTATGAGAATATTAGTTATTCCTTATTTTCATAATTCAAGGCCAGTAAGAGTTACCTCTCTTTCAGACATATCTTTTTTATATTCAATTTCAATTCATTTTAACTAAATAGCAGAAAGTTTGTGAAAAACACAAAAAAAAACACAAATTACACATTTTGGCAAACAGGAAATATATCAAGCCTGTCCTTAGTTTTATATATAGGAATCTAGTTTATTTACTTAAGGTAGCACTACAGTCTAACAATGATTTTTTGAAGATATTTTTTTTATCACATAATTTTGAAGTAAGTATTATTCTGCACAGTTTGTAAAAATCCCAAAGTCATTATCATATCACAACAGGGAGTAAATTGATAATGAACTTTTGTAAATAAAAGCACATGTAATTAATCTAAATATATAGGCATTTGGGAGGGGCTAATATGTCAATCATCTGTTGATACCAGTGTCCAGCTGTTAATCCCTGACCACAAGATAAAAATATCTCATTGCATTGCAACAAAACTAATTTATAAAACATGGAAGTTTAGAACAGACAAAAAGAAAAAGATATGAATAGGAAAAAATTTAAAGGGAAAAAATCTACCAAAATGAAAAAAAAATATGGAAAAGAGTGTGAAAATATCTTTGAAAGCCTCTGACTGCCTGTATAAATTTCTCGTCTTTGGTCTTCTACATTTAAAAATAATTTTAGGCATTTTAACTAATTTTAAGTTTATGTGAAATTTTTTAATTCCATGAAACTCATAAATCATGTTGGACAGTCTATTTTCAAGAAGGGGATGGTCTTGATCTTTTTATGGACATGTATTTTAATTTTGATATATTAGCTAATTTCAGTCATCATGGTCATATTATATTTCTTTTTAAAATTCAAATGAAAATTATTCTTTATAGTGAGAATAATGATGTTAAATATTAATTATGATGCAGCTGGCCAATCCTGTTATTCTCTTATCTTAGACTGTCTGGACAGAGGCGGAGCTTTGTCTTTATTTAATTACTACATCACAGATGTTGGTCAAATCTGTGACGTCAAACTCCCGCCAAATGCCAAGTTAGTGTTATACAGTGCACACAAAATGCAAATTTTACAGCATTAGAGCATCAAAGACACAATGTGTGTGGTTCTATTGATAAAGTAATGGTGTCAGAACACTCCTGGGGTGTTCCCAGTGGAATTTTTGTATTTATGTGGCATTTATAGGGGTTCTTAAGAGGAAATTCAGTTTTAAGGTCATTTCTCAGAACAATTTTTTCATGAGAATTGTAAGGAAAAAATGAAAATAGAAACTTTATGGGTACCCCCTTTGGCTTGACTTTGATATATGTGATTGAAGGGAGTATTTTCTACAATACTGTGTCCCAGTTTTTGGATAATTTGTTTCTAAATGAATTTATAGGTCTCCAAAGATGAAAGGTGAAATGAGGTTTGGCATCCAGCAGTAAAAATAATATATCTTATTACTGGAGGCATATATCAAAAATCTGAGACACAGTTTTGTAGATAGTGAATGGTTGATTAAAGGGATGAAAACAAATTTTTACTACCATTTGACCTGAATGTGCCATTTTCATCCAAGTTGGAAGACCACTTTTTTGGCAATTAATGAGCTATATTTTGAGATTAATCATACCAAAAATAAATTTATCTATAGATTTAGAAAGAGTTATATTTCAGCTTTAAAATGAGTTAAAGATTTTAAAAATCCATCGAGTAGTTTTGGAGAAATTAATCTTTAAAGACTGTTGGTTGGAGTCAGAAAATTCTGACTGTAGTGCTACCTTAAATATTTAGAAATTTACATCAACTTAACTAGAAATTGTACTTGTTTTATAGAATTCCTCATCAATATTTGAAAATTACTCTTATCACCAGTTAAAAAAAATCGGCAATGTCCACCTATCCTCAACAAATTAAAAGACAGGACAATGGCTTTTGGAATTACGACAAAAAAAGGAAGGAATGTGTTGTTATGGTGTACAACTGAGCAATTATATAACCCTGCAATGTTTGACCTTTTCACTGACGCTAAGAACAAGTTTTTATTCAGAAGTTTCAAAACAGACACGAGGAAACATTACACAATTGATTGTTGGTTTTGCTTAACGTCCAGTGACGAATATTTCATGCATGTTCAGGACGTAGGAAACACTACATCAACAAACCATAATCTAAAAGTCCAAAAATAAATTCCAGGTCATTATAAATAGTTAAATCTATGACTGCTGGCTATTTTCTAATTACTTATCTGATTAGGTTTGTATTTTGTAATAGTTTAAACCCCACATACAATGCTTCATTTAAGAGATTCCATAAAATTGTCCAGACTGTATTCCTTTTCATATTGTGATTCATCCCATAATTCCCCTAGACTTTCGATAACAGTTTGCATGCTTTCCTTTCTATTCCATTTGTCTCCCTGTGATGAGCCTGCAATCTTTTCTCCTTTGTTCTTCTCATCCAATGAAAACAGGTCTAACAACTGATCAGTTCCCATGCTTTGTAAGCTGGCATTTTCTTGGCTGATAACTGTGTTAGCAATTGTCATTTTGAACTTTTGAAGACTGAAAAATTAAAATGAATCAGTAAATACTAAGTTAGTTGAATTGAAATTTTAATGCATTTTTGAGTGAAGTTTTTTTTAAATAAATAGTAGGTCTTTCTGTTAGGTGTATGGGATCTAAACAATTTTAATAGTCGTCAACTTGTAACAAAATTACGTGTAAGTGATCATAATTTGGAAATTGAATTAGGACGTTATAAAAAAATTCAAAGAGAACACAGACTGTGCAAAGTTTGTAAAATTTTAGATGATGAGGAACACTTTTTCCTTCATTGCCAAATTAACAGTAATGTAAGACATTCCCTTATAAATGCAATTAAAACCCATTATCCTAATTTTAACCAGCTTGACTCAAACTCTAAACTTAAAACTATTCTAGATCCCAATAAAGATATTTTGTCTAGTGTTGTAGACTATATAAAGCAATCTATGGAATTGTGAAAATAGGGTCCACATTGGTCAATTATTATATATATATATATATATTATTAATATCAACTTGACTTGTTTAAAACATTTATCATGTATTATGTTTCTTGTCACTTGTGTATACAATGTACTATGTTTGCATTTTAACCCGCCAGGGTTTCATGTTTTGCAATAAAGTTTATTATGATGTTTATTCATAGAAGATATTTTAGCAATCCCAAAATAAAAACAGCAATAAAACTGCTGTTTCTGTGAAATATTTATCATTTCCCAATGGTTTTTTTTCAGTCTTTCCACATTTTGCTTAAACCATTCGTTATCATCTGGTTGAGCATAGAAGGGCCCACCAATCTTAGAAGCAGTATAAACTCACCCCATGATCTTTTCCTCAAGTGTTCCTCTTGTAATCAGCCTATATACATTGACAACTTTCTTCTGTCCAATTCTGTGTGCTCTGTCCATGGCCTATGAAAAGAGACAATAAAGTTTGTATTGGAAACATATTGTAGCAATTCAAATTAAGGCAGCTGTTCTTAAAAAGATTTTTTTTTTGCATAAAAGTTACTTGTATTAATGAATCCATGAAATGTTTAGTAATCAAGAAAAGTTAATTTATATTGCTACAGAATCTTGTAACAAAATGGTTCTGCCCCCCCCCCCCCCCCCCCCCAAAAAAAAATATAATATGTAACTATGTGTCCTATCCAGCCATAAAAAAGAGTTGGTCAGGTTTTTGTTTTTTTAGATAAATTCGCATGTATAAGTTTTCAGAGTTTTTTCCAAAAATATCAAAACATAAATCGCCGACCTGAAATATTTATTTAAATTTCATTAAGTCTTTGCTAGTTTAACAATGTAAAGAATACAAAACAAAATGAACTTAGATTATTTAATCATCAAAACAGTTCCCAGAGGTTTTTATTCAATCAAGTTGTTAGTTATGAAATAAGGCTGTCTTATTTGGCTTTTGGCTTTATTTGTTACATTTTGTCCTTTTTTCCTTCATTGGTTTTCTGTATGGATAACTGTTGTTTCACAGTTCAATTGATGTAATGTAAGGCAAACAAGATAACCATGCATGTACAGTTGTAAATCCTGGGGATATTTATTCAATGATTTGTATATGCATGTAAGCTGCATTTGAATTTGTCTGTACCTAGCTACCACTAAATACATGAAAATAAACACAGCGTAAAAAATGTACATATACACTAACATAAGCTGAAATGACTATGTCCATGATATATCATGTGAAACCGAAAAAATTGCCCAGATCAAAAATTGAAATAGTTGGTTTACAACTTCATGCACTGTGGAAAAACTTGTGTTATATTGAATTCTGTCAAGCTGTCTTCAAGAAGTTTTTGATTAACAAACTGATATAAGCAGAGATTATAAATTCCATGTTTTGGTATGGGAAATCCCAAAAATCACTGATAAAAAAAAAAAAACAAGTGCAAAACTGTTTGTCCTGTACCGTAGAAAGGCTTGTATAGTCCGCGGTTTTATTCTCCAAAATTGGACCTTCCAGACGGGGTGCGGACTATAGAGTACAATAAGCAAGAAATAAGAGAAAAATTTCAATTTCGCGGGCAAGTGTTTGTTTACGTTCCGCCATCTTTGTTATTTATATTGTAGAGGGCGCTCTTATCATTTTTCAAACTAATAATTTTAACTCATCCATATTAATAAGTTATTTCTATTCAATATCAAATTAATACTGATAAATATAAAAATTAAACCTTTCATTACAAATTTCTCGTTTCTTTTCAATGCATTGGTTTAAATAAACTGGTATCTGCTTGATTGAAACGATACAAACATAGTGAAAAAGACAACCGTAAACCAGCTTAGAACTTGTAAACTACAAAACGTAATCGGTTATTGTTCGTTCCGTTTTGGTGTTTCATACTGACTAATATGGTTTGTATTAGCTTAAGACCCTTCAAACATTAATGTGATAGATATATTAAAGACTGTTTTACAAAAGGATGGAACTGTTTTACTTTCAAAGTCGTATTATAGTGATATCTGTTATGTACGGATTTCGACTCTCACCGGTTAATTTCTTCTTTTACGCGTGCTTTTTAAACTTCCTGTTTAAACATACACAAGTTTCTAAATTGTTTTTTAAGTGAATTAAACTTATTTTAACAATCATGAAGCGTTCAAGAATCATTTACAAGCAGTTTCAGCTTCTGTTTGATGATGGAAAACAGGTTTTTCCAAGAAAATACCGCAAACGACTGCACAGGATTTGAAATTACCGGAGTTTCATTAGACCTTTTCTAACAGTTACAAAAAGTTTTTTTACCTAAAATTTCGTGGGGAGAAGGGGGTGCGGACTATGTACCAGTGCGATCTATACAAGCCTTTCTACGGTAGTAGAATCTGTGTGATAATTATAAATTAATTCCGTCCTGCTATTTTTAAGTAGTTGAGGATTAACAGTTAATGTGATGCAGCAGACTACACAGGACAATAGAAGTGTTCCCTAGCAACAGCCTGCTCAAATACCTGTAAATCTTTCATTGGATTCCAATCGTGTTCCACAAAGATGACAGTATCAGCACCAGTCAAATTTAATCCAAGTCCTCCAACGTGAGTAGTCAATAATAAAATATCAATAGATGGATCATTGTTGAACCTTTAATTAGAAGAAAAAATACATTTATGATGTCATTCATTAAGGTAGCTAGTTTATCATATAATTGCGTAGTTTTTCACAATAACAACCTTCACTGGTCACAAAGTAATAGCATTATTATAAAATGGCAATTCAAACTGCCCTGTCTACTACTGCATAAACTTCAGTAAATTTAATTTTAATATGGTCCCTTTGAAAATCCACAAAAAAATTATTCATAAACAAAAATGTGTCCATAGAACACGGATGCCCCACTTGCACTATCATTTTCTATGTTCAGTGGACCTTGAAATTGGGGTCAAAACTCTAATTTCACTATCAGTACCATTCAGAGTTCATGGATTACAAATGATAGACACTTACCATGATAACCTCTTTTGAAATTTAAATTAGATTTGATAGAATTGTGAATTAAAAACCTGACCAGTTACTACCATGGGTCAATCAGTTATCTCCATTATTCTTGACCTACTGTGGATTCAATATTATTTGTGGGATACCCATTTTCCATGGATTTTATGGGTATAGGTAATCCACGATTTTTCTAATTTTCAACTAAGTACACATTTTCTTGTACATGTATATAGACTTAAGCAAATACACGAAATCAAATATCCAGGAAAATATAATTTTTCTGTAACCCACGAAAATAAATGATTTGATTTTGATTTTTGGTGTTTTAACGCCACTTTTAAGCACCGCTTTTGGGCTATTATGTGGTGGCCAGTTTTTATTGGTGGAGGAAGCCGGAGTGCCCGGAGAAAACCACCGACCTTCGATAGGAAAACTGACAATCCTAGTCAATTAAGATTGGAGTCGAGTGCACCTGCACGAGCGGGGTTCGAACTCACAACCTCAGTGTTGGCTGGCTAGTGATTACAGTAGTAACTACTTAGACCACTCGGCCACAAAAAAATAAATGAAACCAGTTACAAAATAATATATACCAATGTCATTCACTGTTTATGTTTACATACCTGTTAACAATATTATGTCTGTTATTGGCAGGTACACTTCCATCTAACCTGAGGTAAGTAACACTTGGCATGTGAGTTCTGAAAACAAAACAATTTTAAGAAAATTAAAATAATTTCTCACCATCAAAGATGTAATCATAGTGTAAGCTTTATACACATGGACCCAACTGTTAACAAGATACTGAAAGCTACTTCAAAATCATTTCAAACTGATAAATAAATCATGTTTTCCCAAACTAAAGTATCAATCAGTACACATCCAATGGATTTGGTGTATGGACATAATAACCAGTCTGAGAAGAATATGATCTTATGCTTTGCCATAGTGTAAGTATCCACAAGATGTAGGACCAAAAAGTGTGTATAACTGTATAACCATACATATTAAGGTGGTACCTAACACTACAGGGAGATAACTCTGTAAAAAGCAGCTAAACGTTTTAATCACGTTGTATTGTTAAGGAAATATTAAGCTTCTCAATGATCAAAATTAGTGTTTGTCAAACTGCTATTTAACCAATGAAATTTTTCTGATAAAGTGGTTGGTTCAAATTTTTTGAAATTTTTATATTTTTGTCAAAGGGTCAAAGTAAACATTTTGTCAAAATTTTATGAAAATTAAACAAGCCAAATTAATATTAGTCAAGGTGTTGGGTACCACCTTAAGTTATGCCTTTACTTATCAAAATCAATAATAGTTAGTACCAATGAAGACAATATTCAAAGATCTTACTACAGTTTTAAATTGATAATAATAATATGTTTATTCAAAGGATTAAAAAGTTTAAAACATGGATGGTATATACATTTAAGGGCTTTATAAACCACATCAAAAATTAGGATGTGATATCCTGTTTATAGTAAAAAGGTTTCTACCAGTACAGCAAAACTTACAAAACAATCTTTGAAAGAATTTTATTAATGTTTTATATAATTTGTGACAAAGAAATCCCAACATAAATAATGTTCATATATTACTTACTTGAGCAGATCATTTTCTACGATTTCCAGCATACTTTTGAGCTGACAGAAGAGCAAGACCCTGTGCTGACCAACAACTGGACCTTCACTCAAAGCTGCCTGACCACTGGTACCACTGAAACTGGACACCCCTATACCACAATCATTTAACAATTGTCTGTAATAGAAATAAAACAACAATTAACCGGGGGGAAAATAAATTGTATGAAGAAGAGAAACATTTTTCTGTGCTTAGTAATAACATTTTGCTTAAATTTGTAATTTTCTTTTCATTTTTATAGTGTTTTAGAATGTTAAAATTGTGCAACAAAACCTGATGAGGTAACCTTCTTGAATACTGTGGATTCACTTATTATTTTCGTGGGTATCAATTTTCGTGGATAAAGGGAAACTTGTACTTTTGTTGATATTTGATTTTGTGGTTTTGCCTAAACTAGAGGCTCTAAAGAGCCTGTGTCGCTCACCTTGGTCTATGTGCATATTAAACAAAGGACACAGATGGATTCATGACAAAATTGTGTTTTGGTGATGGTGATGTGTTTTGGTGATGGTGATGTGTTTGTAGATCTTACTTTACTGAACATTCTTGCTCCTTACTATTATCTCTATCTATAATGAACTTGGCCCGGTAGATACAGTGGAAAATACTTTGTAAAAATTTACAAAAATTTACAAAATTTATGAAAATTGTAAAAAATTGACTATAAAGGGCAATAACTCCTGAAGGAGTCAATTGACAATTTTGGTCATGTTGCCTTATTTGTAGATCTAACTTTGCTGTACATTATTGCTGTTTACAGTTTATCTCTATCTATAATAATATTCAAGATAATAACCAAAAGCTGCAAAATTTTCTTAAAATTACCAATTCAGGGGCAGCAACCCAACAATGTGTTGCCTGATTGGTCTGAAAATTTCAGGGCAGATAGATCTTGACCTAATGAACAATTTTACCCACATGTCAGATTTGCTCTAAATGCTTTGGTTTCAGAGATATGAGCCAAAAACTGCATTTTACCCTATGTACTATTTTTTAGCCAAGTCGGCCATCTTGGTTTGCGGGCGGGGTCATCGGACATATTTTTTAAACAAGATACCCTAATGATGATTGTGGACAAGTTTGGTTAAATTTGTCTTAGTAGTTTCAGAGGAGAAGATTTTTGTAAAAGATTACAAAAATTTATGAAAAATGGTTAAAAATTGACTATAAAGGGCAATAACTCCTTAAGGGGTCAACTGACCATTTTGGTCAAGTTGACTTATTTGTAGATCTTACTTTGCTGAACATTATTGCTGTTTACAGTTTATCTCTATCTATAATAATATTCAAGATGATAACCAAAAACGGCAAAATGTCCTTAAAATTACCAATTCAGGGGCAGCAACCCAACAACAGGTTGTCCGATTCATCTGAAAATTTCAGGGCAGATAGATCTTGACCTAATAAACAATTTTACCCCATGTCAGATTTGCTCTAAATGCTTTGGTTTCAGAGATATAAGCCAAAATCTACATTTTACCCCTATGTTCTATTTTTAGCCATGGCGGCCATCTTGGTTGGTTGGCCGGGTCACCGGACACATTTTTTAAACTAGATACCCCAATGATGATTGTGGCCAAGTTTGGTCAAATTTGGCCCAGTAGTTTCAGAGGAGAAGATTTTTGTAAAAGTTTACGGACGACGGACGACGGACGCAGGACGACGGACGCAAAGTGATGAGAAAAGCTCACTTGACCTTTCAGGTCAGGTGAGCTAAAAAGTCTGCATTCAAAATAGAAAGTTTGTTACTTGTTTAACATTTAAATTCTTTGTTCATCTGTATCCACGAAATCCATTATAAACTGTTGACACAGAGATATGTCTCGCTAATATGTTATTTTGATAATGCAAATGTTGAATTTAAAATAGCAAACTTTAACATGTAAGTTATGCAAATATTCAAAGTCAATGAACCATGACTGAAGTTACAGGGCTAAACCATCTCCATAGAAATGAGATGTGTCAATGCTAATACAAATGCATACCAAATACCATTGACTTTTCATAAGTTGTTCCCTTTAAACAAAGCTACATGTAAACACAAACATTAACTTGTAAACTATGTAAAAGTCGATGAACCATAATGAGGGGGTGGGGTTATATAATCTCCATGGAAATGAAACTTGCAAAATTCCAATACATTTGCATATCAAATATCATTGACTTAACATTAGAGGTTCATCTTTAACTGACCTAATCACAAACTAATACATGTAAACTAAGCTAAAGTTTCAAAGTCAATAGACCATGACTGAGGGGTAAGGACCAAATATTCTCCATGGAAATGAGATGTGCTAATGCTTATACAACTGCATACCAATTATCATTGACCACTAACAGTTCCCCTTAAACTGACCTAATCACAAAATAATAAATGAAAACTAAGCAAAAGTTTCGAAGTCAATAGAGTATGACTGAGGGGGCAGGGCCAAATAATCTCCATGGAAATGAGATATGCCAATGTTTATACAAATGCATACTAAATATCATTGACCTACCACTAGTGGTTCCCCATAAACTGACCTAATCACAAACTAATACATGTAAACTAAGCAAAGTTTCAGAGTCAATAGCGCATGACTGAGGGGGCGAGGCCAAAAAATCTCCATGGTAATGAGATGTGCCAATGCTAATACAACTGCATACCAAATATCATTGACCTACCACTAGTGGTTCACCATGAACTAGACCTAATCACAAACTAATACATTGTTGACGCTGCCGCCGCCGCCGGAAACAGCATACCTATGTCTCGCTTTTTGATTCCGTCAAGGCGAGACAAAAATGGAATATTTTCACAGTTTTATTTTCGCTTTTTCGGGGTTAGAGTTAATATGCGAAAACTAAACAACCGTAAATATTTTATTGGAACTAGATACATTGGACTAAGACTGCACACAAATAAATACAAACATGAAATCACATATTCAAAGTGGCACCAATTTAAATTCAGTCGACAAATCTCAAATAAAAGACAGAGTTTAAATTTCCCAGTTTACAGTAGTCAGAGTATCCACACTCTCTTATGTACATACCTGAGAGCCATTAGTTTAGGAGTATGTTGGAGATCACGCAGATTGGAATTCTGTTGTTTGAGCTGGAGAGTAATCTCTTTATATTTAGGATGGTTTGGCGTCAGTACCAGAGATGGGTGATTACAGACTTTCTTTAGGTATTGTAATGCCTGCAAAAATATTAATCATTCAACATTTAATATTAGCATAAACATTTGATAAAAGGAATGGAAAATGTGTCCATGAGTCAGATGATACCCCTGCTTGCAATTTGTCCATTTATAAAGGAGCATAAATTGAGAACGATACAATTGACGACACCCATATTCGAAAATTGATCCGAGTTTTGTGGTAATAAGCATTGTGTATAAGTTTCATAACATTTCTTTGAGAGTATATGTACCCTTTACAAGGGCCTAAAATTTTTCTAATAATTTTCAAATACATATTTTTGCTTTCAGCATGTAAATTTTGATATTTTTGTTAAAAAGAATAATATCAGCAGGAATGCTGATCACATTACCATACAATGCAAGTTGTTGATTAAAAACCTTTTTGTGCTTCTTTAGGATTTAATATACAGTTTTGAAACTTTAAAACAAACTACACACACGATATTTACTTTTCATAAAATAATCAGTTTATCAGGGAACTTGAAAATACAGTAATGATTGTACCCTAAAACTTGATATTTTACCTGGAACACGTGACCGATTGATGGACTCTGTTTCTGTGTATCTTCCTCTCCTCCTAATTGAGTGACAACATCATCCAAACCTTGCTTTGCCCTCGACTTGGCAAAATCTTCATACAACTGAACCTGCAAAATAAGGTTTATTTATTGTAATACTGTAATTGTTAGAGATCAATCAGACCTCTGGATAAAAAATCAGCTGTTTGGACATGCAGATTATAATGGTAAATTGAAATACAGGAGTATTATATCCAACAACGTATGCTGCAAAACTAAAACAATTAAATGACATAACTGGGACGACGCTGACGACGACGACAACGTGATACCAATATACGACCAAACATTTTTAATTTTTGCGTATAAAAATCATATATAATTTATGCATGACATATTGCATATAAAAGTGTTTCTTCAAACAAAAAGTAGAACACCAAAGTAACAGAAAACATTTCACACAGTATGTCATAACTCAAAGAAGCTTATACACTTAGAACCAAACCATAGAAAAGCATTACTAACAAGAAATGATTGTAACAGGATGCTGTTACGAAGTCTCCCAAACGAAGCTCCCATAATTCGTAATTCCCAGGGTCGCCTGACATTGGACAAAGTCCTGTGAAAATTGGTTTGGTCCAGTAAAGTTATATGCATTAGTGATGCCTGGGGACTAACCCTGTATATCATTCAAATCATCTTGGCATGACAAACCAGAATATATATGGTTTAGGGGTGGGGATCTCAACCATTTACAAGATACAAGAACATTGGGGGTGGGGGGAACCCCTAGGGACTGACCCTAAACGTCATTCAAATGTTCGAGACATGACGAACAGGAATATATATGGTTTAGGGGTGGGGATCACGACCATTTACAAGATATTAGAACATTGGGGGTGGGGGGAACCCCTGGGGACTGACCGTATACGTCATTCAAATGTTCTAGACATGATTAACAGGAATATATATGGTTTATGGGTGGGGATCTCTACCATTTACAAGATATTAGAACTTTCTCAAATGACAGGAGGTCGGGATGACCCCTGGGGACTAACCCTGTATATCATTCAAACCATCTTGGTATGACAAACCAGAATATATATGGTTTAGGGGTGGGGATCTTGACCATTTACAAGATATTAGAACTTTCTCAAATGACAGGGGGTCGGGATGACCCCTGGGGACTAACCCTGTATATCATTCAAACCATCTTGGTATGACAAACCAGAATATATATGGTTTAGGGGTGGGGATCTCGACCACTTAAAAGATATTAGAACTTTCTTAAATGGCAGGGGGTGGGGGTGACCCCTGGGGACTAACCCTGTATAACATTTGATGTGCTTTATCATGACAAACCAGAATATATATGGTTTAGGGGTGGGATCTCGACCATTTACAAGATATTAGAACTTTCTCAAATGGCAGGGGGTCGGGATGACCCCTGGGGACTAACCCTGTATATCATTCAAACCATCTTAGCATGACAAACCAGAATATATATGGTTTAGGGGTGGGGATCTTGACCACTTAGAAGATATTAGAACTTTCTTAAATGGCAGGGGGTGGGGGTGACCCCTGGGGACTAACCCTGTATATCATTTAATGGGCTTTATCATTTAGAACATTTTCAATTAAAAAGATTGTGTCTATCACAAACGGTTTTCAATTTATAATCATTTGAAAATTTAAAAAAATAAAATCCCTTAGGGTTCTATAGTAAAACCCTCTTTTCTTTTTGCCCCTCAAAGTACCCCTTTATAAACCCCATTGCACAAACAAAACCCTGATTGCACCACTAGACATGTTAGTCTAACATATTGTGAAACCCTAAGTTAATCTGACAAGCGGTTTTGGAGAACAGGTGCGGACAAGTTCAAATTTAAAAGAAGAAGAAGAAGAAGAAGAAGAAGAAGAAGAAGAAGAAGAAGAAGAAGAAGAAGAAGAAGAAGAAGAAGAATAAAGAAGAAGAAGAAGAAGAAGAAAAAGAAGAAGAATAATAATAATAATAATAAGAACTGAGCAAAAACAATAAGTCTTCCCAAACTTCGTTACAAGCGGTTTTGGAGAACAGGTGCGGACAAGTTCAAATTTAAAAGCGGCGGAAGAAGAAGAAGAAGAAGAGGAAGAAGAAGAAGAAGAAGAAGAAGAAGAAGAAGAAAAAGAAGAAGAAGAATAATAATAATAATAATAACTGAGCAAAAACAATAAGTCTTCCCAAACTTCGTTTGGGAGACTTAATAAAACAATGGGCTTACCTGTAATGGACTGAGATCACAGTAATAATCCTGTATTTGACTTACCTGTAATGGACTGAGATCACAGTAATAATCCTGTATTTGACTTACCTGTAATGGACTGAGATCACAGTAATAATCCTGTATGATTTTAGGGGGTAAGTCCTGTAATACATCCTCCTTTAATCTTCTTAGGATGAACGGTAAGACTTGTCTGTGAAGAGATTCCATAGCTAATGCTCCTGTAAAAGCATGATTAACACAGTTTAGTTCTATATGTATTAATCTTATATATATTTAGTCTATTTTCTAGAATATGAGATTTCTTTCTAATAGATAACCTTAGCCGTATTCGGAAAACCTTTCGTAATTTTGGGTCCTAAATGCTCTTCAACTTCGTACTTTATTTGGCATTTTAACTTTTTTGATTCGAGTGTCACTGATGAGTCTTTTAGTAGACAAAACAAGCATCAGGCGTACAAAATTTTAATCCTCGTATCTAGGATGAGTTTATTTACCTAATGAAGATAAAAATCATATTATATATTCCTATATACTGTAAATTCAGAAATTATTGCGAGGTTTTTATTATTGCGAATAATGCGATTAGATGAGTATCGCAATAATTAGAACTGGCATTCTGATATCTGATACATACATCAGTATGCAGATATTCCTGAAATCGCAATAATTAGACTCGCATTTTTGTCCATTCTTCAAAAATCGCAATAATAAATGCACACAATAATTTCTGAATTTACAGTATTGAATACATTTTGTTTTAATCATTTTTATTAGCAGTAAAAACTTTTTACTCAACACTAATTTCTGACTAATCTAAATGTTTGATGGATAAACTGGATCGCTGCATCAGTCAACTGATCTTGTCTGCTTGTCATTTTTAAAGCAATTGACTGTATTCTTATGAAGTAACTTGACCCTCTGTACAGAAAGTTTGCCCTTTGCTCAAAATAATGAAGATTATATGCCAAACAAAAGCACAAATGATGTAATATAACATTGTCTTAAATCAATTATTTTAAGTAAAAGATAAAAACCAGCATGAATTGTATTAGGAAAAACAGCTACGAACTTCGATGGATTGTTATAATAGGGTTTATAAATAGTATTTTGGGGGCATTTGGACACCTCTTAACCTTTTCTAATGTTAGATCTTGCCTTTTAATAAGATCAAATCATAGCCTAAAGTCAACAGGAAAATCAAAATCAGAGGCTAACAATGCCTACTGCATTTTACCATTTCAGAATCTTAAGAATACCGGTATTGGATGAATATCAAAATGAATATTATTTCGTACCATTAGTTGGATATTCATTATTTAGGATAGTTAACCAATCACAACATCTTGGTGTACAATTTTAAAAATATTACCCAGAATGCATTAGCTTCTGAAATAGTGAATTTCACTGAAACATTTATATATCTACCTGCTTCTTGTTCCTTAGACGTGCTCTTGGCATCCCTACTTTGTAGAATGGGTTTGCCATATCTGGCCTGGAATTGTTTCTCAGTACCCAGGAATCCAGGCATCAGGAAATCAAACAGGGACCACAAGTCCAAGACATTGTTCTGGATAGGGGTCCCTGACAATATCAGTCTGTGGTTACAGGTCAGCTGTTTTACAGCTTTTGATAACTGAAACAGAATAAAAAAAACTCTGGTAAGCTAAATTATGTCAGACTGTAGTTAGTATACAGAATTTAGGTTTGGAAATTTGTTGGATGAACAATCAATTCCTTATCAGCTAAGGCAATTAAGTTAAAGAGGGTCAAAATTATTCTATAGGTTCCTTTGTTAATTTATCCACATTTCAACTGGCGTATGTCAAATGCTACTACTTGCGTGTGCTTGATGAAGTCTTAAATTTGAAAAATTAAAAAAATTGTTAAAATTTAATTATTATTTACATAATCTAGGGAATTGTGGAGAGAAGTCTCATTGGCAATCATACCACATCTTCCTATCTTTATATAAAGCTGATGAACTACAGAGTTGGTTAATTAGCCATCGGTAAAACAAATTAAACCAGATATATGTACAGGTAGAAGTTAAACAACAGTGTTCAGGATGTAATTACAAGATTTCAGCATCAATGTAGGATAGGTATATTTCAGTAAACTGTCAATAAATACATCTTACTAAATGTTCAAACAAGCTTTGCTATAATTTTCAATATGCTTCCAAATCTTTATTGCACTGTCCATCATGTCCATAGTAATTTTACATACTGATTAAATTTTTACATTTTCATGTGAATTTTTGTCTCTTTTGATAATTGGACCTCTTCTCTGTTTATATGATCTTAAAGTAAAACATACCTTTGTTTTACCATTTTTAATAACATGTCCCTCATCCAGTACACAATAATTCCATTTTATTGACCTGAAATTACAAAAATATGTGTTAATTTCACTAAATGAATTTTGACTTTCCCATTCAGATTTAAAGCTAAGTTTAAATCCAATCTGTATTTGTTTGTTTTTAAAAAAAAATTTCAGCCATTTTAATACAAGTGTGAATACTGTGTGCCTCACTTTCCATGGACATTTTTTTTTAAACAAAATTAAAACATATATTAAGTACATAGCTACAATTAAGGACAGACGGATGAACAGACGGATAAAGGTAAACCTTAATGCCCCCTCCGCTTCGACAGGGGCATAAAAATTATTTGAAATTCTTTGTAGAAATCTTCAACTATCAAAGTTGATAAATATTTATGACTTGCAAAATATACACAAACAAAAAAATTAATTCACAAATCATGGACACATGGCAGTAACATCATTATTTGACAACAACAAAAAACAGCAGTTTTGAAAAAGTTGCTAAGTTCATAACCTAAAGAATACCAGCTAATTTCACAAATAATATGACAAGAAAAAAAAATAGTGAGACCATTTCAATATACCCGGTAACATTTTATAAATTTTAATCAGAGCCCCAGATACAGAATACTAACCCAAAGAAATCAATGTCATTCCTTACAACATCATATGATGCCACTATCAAGTTGTGCTTCTTTACTTTCTTCTGTAATCTGAAGAAAAAAAAAACCAATAGAAAATATGTTATTTTTGTATTTGTCAGCGTTTTCGCCAGTGTTTGTTTCTTGTGCAAAATATGGCACCTGACTAAACAAAAAATATCTGTTGTGGTTATTTAAAGTAAGATCATCACAAAATGGAGTCTAAACGTGAATTTTGCCATGAATGGCTTTCAAATAATTTTTGCCTTTCTCTTTCAGTAAAGGTACATGCAAATTTTGCACAGACGAATGGAAAAGATGACCAATACAAATATATGACTGTTAAATTGAACTATAAGATACATTGAATACGTACCCAACTATTTAGTATATGTATATGTAAGTATAGTCTTCTGCTATAGAAAGGTTTCGATTGACACAATTTGAGCAAGAGTTCCTACCCTTTTGTTGCCATTCTGGAGGTTTAGATCCTTCATAAATCAGCAAAATTCAACTTGTTATACTGACCATTAGACTTGAGAAAAAGGGTTTTCCTGAACAGTTTTTATTTCATTTACCCTTGCTCAATTCATCACTACGATCTAGTAATGATCTCTTATCAGACTTGTATGTATCACATGTTTTACTATGGTTAATCAAATAATAAAATCAACCATTTATCCCTTCAAAATGGCTGCCAAGGGAAATAACTCAAACTCAAATTACGTCATTCGAAACCCATCTATATCATCAATAAATATATAACATAAATGACAATATTACAAACCTAGTTCTCTCCCCTGGGGGTCCAGCATACATCAGAGTAACCCATCTATATCATTAATAAATATATAACATAAATGACAATATTACAAACCTAGTTCTCTCCCCTGGGGGTCCAGCATACATCAGAGTAACCCATCTATATCATTAATAAATATATAACATAAATGACAATATTACAAACCTAGTTCTCTCCCCTGGGGGTCCAGCATACATCAGAGTAACCCATCTATATCATTAATAAATATATAACATAAATGACAATATTACAAACCTAGTTCTCTCCCCTGGGGGTCCAGCATACATCAGAGGATTCAGATATTTCACATCCACAAACTTGTTAACTTCATATACCCAGTGACCAATCAGTGTGGGTGGACACACAACAATAGATGGCATTGGTACACAATCAGGACCTTTTGTATTCTGAAATTATAAGATTAGTATTTGATTGATTGATTGCAGATTGTTTAATATCTTGCGGCTAATATTTCATGCAGATTCAGGGCAAAACAAAATTAACCATATATCAGGTAAGGTTGTCTCATTAGCAATCCTACCACTTCTCCTTATTATATACATATGTAAATAAGGATCAGAAATTTTGCCTTCAATGATAATATACAGATCTCTGTTATTCAAGGGTTCGTTACCATGCAGAGATTGTACAGCTAAGCATGCAGCAGGAGTAAGAGCAAAAGACTGGGCAGTTTGGAGTCTGAACATGTGTCTTGATTATAAATCCCTGTCAGCATGTCCGTCTAGTACTAAGGGTTCATATTTACATCACATTAGCATGTTCATGTCCAGCTGGGTCAATGTTCTCAATTGTTTCTCCATAGGCGGTAATGGCAACGTTTTCTTCTGTTGCTCAGTCCATATCGTTAACTTGGATATGTATGATGGCTCGTTTCGAAGCTGAGACATTTTCACATATGTGGTTAAATTTTCGGGGTACGAAGTGAGATTACTTTTTCCGTATATTAGCAAACCCCGAGAATCCTTTTGTGATGCGGCTCCTCGTGGTAATCAAAGCGCGAAAGCGCTGTAAAGGCAGTTAATTACAGGTGTACTTATCAGAGGTGGCTTTCAGTATTTAAGATTTAGAGTTCTCTAATGATATTGAACAAGTTATATGAATGTCATATTCTGAGCACTATATGAAGGTGATTGTTCTCACTTGTTTATGAACTAGTGCATTATGTCCAGTTTGTACCTTTTTTTATCTATGTTTATAGTCAAATTAGTTATCAAAGGTACCAGGATTATAATTTAATACGCCAGACGCGCGTTTCATCTACATAAGACTCATCAGTGACGCTCAGATCAAAATGGTTATAAAGCCAAACAAGTACAAAGTTGAAGAGCATTGAGGACCCAAAATTCCAAAAAGTTGTGCCAAATACGGCTAAGGTAATTTATTCTTGGATAAGAAAAATTTTAGTTTTTCGAAAAATTCAAAGTTTTGTAACAGGAAGTTTATAAAAATGACCATATAATTGATATTCAAATACTGTTTAAAATAGTTAGGCATTTTCTTTTTAGTAATAAGTAAATGTTATCAACTGTATTTTATTCAACTCTGCAAATGTGGTTTGTTACTGTTAAGTATGGATGATAGTTGTTTCATTGGCAATCATAACACATCTCCTTATTTATATAATGATCTATATTCAACGACCTCAGGTACAAAAAAAATGTATGTAACTTAACTATGATGGGAAACCTTTGACTTCTTTCTTTTATATAAACTTTTGATTTGGTACCATAGAACTATGTAGAATAAATGTACATTCCAATATGTCAACTCTTTCAATGACAATACTTTTTTAAGAAACTATAACTCCAAGCAAAATTATATTTCCAAGTTTAAAGTAATTTATGAATGAAAAAAGGAGTTCTTAATTAAGAAATAAACTGATTCGCTGAGGGCAGCTGGATACACCCGCAGAGGTCCAACCCTGAACAGTTGGGGCAAAAATGGACACAATATTCAAGCTTGATACAGGTCTGAATTTGGATTGTAATTAAATATTTGACATATTATAGTTTCTGAATAAATGTAGTCAAAGAACTTGAAATCGGTTATATGAATTGAATTTATATTCAATTAAAGATTTCTTGCTGTTGTGCAATACACTGTGCTGTTGCGCAATACTTAATGAATCTGTTGCCAGACTATAAACAAATAAAGTTCAATTTCTTCTCAATGTCATATTTGAAATTTATGAAAATCTATAGGGAGATTACATCAATAGCTATAAATAATTCACCAAAGTTTCATGCGAACTGCTTAAAGCATTTTTGAGTTGTTGTCCAACAAGAGTGCACACGCTGAAATGTCTCGCCTTCTTTACTAATCACTGATATCATGTTGATAGTCCTTAATATAAAGCTTTATTACAACTGTCACATAAACTTAACATTAACCAAGAAAACTAAACATTGACCAATGAACCATGAAAATGAGGTCAAGGTCAGATGAACCATGCCAGGCAGACATGTACAGCTAACAATTCTTCCATACAACAAATATAGTTGACCTATTGCTTATAGTTTAAGAAAAACAGACCAAAACACAAAAACTTAACACTGAGCAATGAACTGTGAAAATGAGGTCAAGGTCAAATAAAACCTGCACGACTGACATATAGATCATAAAATATTTCCATACACCAAATATAGTTGACCTATTGCATATAGTATTAGAAAAAAAGACCAAAACTCAAAATCTTAACTTTGACCACTGAACCATGAAAATGAGGTCAAGGTCAAATGAGACCTGCCAGCTAGACATGTACACCTTACAATCATTCCATACACCAAATATAGTAGACCTGTTGCATACAGTATAAGAAAACAGACCAAAACACAAAAACTTAACTATAACCACTGAACCATGAAAATGAGGTCAAGGTCAGATGACACCTGCCAGTTGGACATGTACGCCTTACAGTCCTTCCATACACCAAATATATACTTGACCTATTGCTTATAGTATCTGAGATATGGACTTGACCACCAAAACTTAACCTTGTTCACTGATCCATGACATGAGGTCGAGGTCAAGTGAAAACTGTCTGACGGACATGAGGACCTTGCAAGGTACGCACATACCAAATATAGTTATCCTACTACTTATAATAAGAGAGAATTTAACATTACAAAAAATGTTAACTTTTTTTTCAAGTAGTCACTGAACCATGAAAATGAGGTCAAGGACATTGGACATGTGGCTGACGGAAACTTCGTAACATGAGGCATCCATACACAAAGTATGAAGCATCTAGGTCTTCCACCTTCTAAAATATAAAGCTTTTAAGAAGTTAGCTAACGCCGCCGCCACATCACTATCCCAATGTCGAGCTTTCTGCGACAAAAGTCGCAGGCTCGACAAAAACTGGAAAATCCCCCCTGAATAAAACCCCATAACTCAGAAATGTAAAATCTAAAATTTATAAAATTCTAAAGGGAGCTTACGGATTGATAATTTAGTCTTAGATGCAAGATTTTTTTATCAGTTGTTAGTGGCTTTGAACTAGCTGTCAGTAACTTTGAGTACTCTCAGATCTGTACTTAGTGTCTTTTTGTTGTTTGGATTTACAACTACCCGACCACGTCCACTTGTATTTGTATTTATCCATCTGATGAGTTAAGCCTCTTTCAACTGATTTTTATAGTTCGTTCTTATATTGTACTGTTACACCACTGTCCCAGGTTAGTGGGAGGGTTGGGATCCCGCTAACATGTTTAACCCCGACACATTCTGTATGTACATGTATGTGGCGTGCCTGTCCCAAGTCAGGAGCCTGTAATTCAGTGGTTGTTGTTTGTTTATGTGTTGCATATTTGTTATATTCGTTCATTTTTTGTACATAAATTAGGCCGCAAGTTTTCTTGTTTAAATTGTTTTACATTGTCATTTCGGGGCCTTTTATAGCTGACAGTGCGGTATGGGCTTTGTTCATTGTTGAAGGCCGTACTGTGACCTATAGCTGTTAATTTCTGTGTCATTTGGTCTCTTGTGGAGAGTTGTCTCATTGGCAATCATACCACATCTTCTTTTTTATATTTACATCAACAGATATAAACAATTCACCAAAGTCAAGGTGAGACAACAAAACTTAGTGGTAAGATCTCTGAAATGTTTTACATGGTACAAGTTTTTCTCATTGTTGGAGATTGTACGGTGACAGTAACACCTGTAACTGCTTAAACCCATTTCTTATGCACTTTAGTTCGATAAACTCACTGAATATCATACCACATCTCCTTATTTTTATATGCATTACAATTTACATGTGCATGTAATTATAAATATATATATATATCAGAACAAAATTCATTGCGTCACTTTTATTTATGCATCCTTTGGCACAATACAAGTTCTAAAATTACACAACATAGTACAACTAAATGTTATTTCAGATGAAAGTTTTGTTTCAGTTCCATTCATAGGATTTATTAGAATTTTGTATGTTTTGCCAAGTCCAATAATTCGCTCTATGTGCACATGTTAATTGGAGACTTTTCTATCCCGTATAAGAGTTTTGGAACTAATTCTGTTTCTTTTTTTGAAAAATGTTAGCAAACAAATCTTGCACATTTAAACCTTTGTCTGCCATCACACTGTCACCTGGATCACATAATTGAACTATTCTACATCTTTCAACTATTTCATAGTCACTGGTAGAACCAACATATGCATTAGAGACATCGTTGACTAAACCACCAGGTGTCGAACATACAAGTATTTTCAGTGTTTCTGTTTTTATATGATGAAAAGGTTGCCTGAGCTCTAGGAGCTTTAGGTTTTATCACGGGATATTCTGTGCTGTCAATAATAATCCAAGTCGTAGGAAACTTTAATTTGAAGTTGGATGGTGAAAAATACCTGACTAAACCACTAGATGGCCAAGTGTTAGCCTCACACCACTGTTTAGACATAAAAACAATCCATGTATACACAATATTCTTAACACTAGATTCAATCTAGAATCTAGAAAGTTCAAAGTTGGTTGTATAATGCCTCAATTTCATCAAAGTCATAAAAAAACTGATTTTCAACTGACACCCTATCAATTTGAAAATATATGTATCTCAAACAATGTGCTGCTGGACCAAGTGTGGTCAAAACAAATAAAAATTTAGTATACAACTCTAAACCGGTATAAAAATGCATGGCTGTGTCACATGTCTTCATTTCAAAATTCTCTGCTGAAAACATAGGCATTGATGGTGTTTGCATAATTCCATCTGTGAAGCTCAACATTAGCTCGGCAGTTGGTGGTGGACAGTCATAAATCCTTTCTGCAGGTTGAATGACTTCTTCAGGAAAACCAACTTTACAATCAAAACTTTCCTCTAGATTTCTACTACAATATTCATCAAGTTTGGTTCTTTTGTTTTCACAGGAAACTGCCCTG